CGCGGCGGCGGCGTGGGGGGCGCGGGGGGCGGCGGCGGCGGCGGGCGCGGCCCGGCGGGCGGAGAGCGGCAGCGGGCGGGCGGCGGCGGCCCCGGCCCCGCGGTCCCGGCCCCGGCGGCGTCCCCGCGCCTCCCTGCCGCCTTGGTAGCGCCGGTCCGCACTCGGCCTGACCCGGGACGTCACGGCGCCTGCCTGTGTTCCCAATGATAACTTGGCAGGAGCAGGGGGAAGCGGCCGGGTTTTTCCTGGGCTCGTTACCGGGTACGTGCACGTTTCTTTCGCATGCGGAATTTTTTTTTGATTTTTTGGTTTTTTTAAGGCGCAGTAGCGAAAAGCCGGGACAGGAAATCCGGGGCGCGGCGGGGGCTGCCGCCCCGCGATGGTGGCGGCCGCTCGCCGGCGGGAGCGGGGCGCAGGCATGCGTTCATCTCCGTGTCTTTCATTTTACCTTCAGGGTGACATTCAGTGCCGGGCGAGCCTCGCCGGTCACCGCCACGTCCCACCTGGAAAAAACACAAACAAAACCACCGGGAAAAAAAACAAAACAACAAAACAAAACAACAACAGCAAAAAAAGGCGACTGCCGAAAAGGGGGGATGGGGAGGGAGGGGGTGCCGGCCCCCCTCGGCTGGGATGCGGACGGCGGACGGGACACCTCGCCCAGGGGACGCGGGGACACACGCGCCGCCGGCCGCCAGCAGGCCATGTGCCGAGCGGCCGGCGGGGGCGGGGGAGCGGGCACCGCACACACACACAGAACAAAATCAGAAAAAAAAAAAATAAAAGACAAAAAAGAAAAGCACACGGAATGCCAGAGGAGGCCGGGCGAGGAGCTAGGATGCCGCACCGCTGTTGCCGTGCAGGCCCGGTGCTGCGCCCCCCCCAGTCCCCTGCAAGGCTCTGCAGGGGAAGGCGGGGGAGCCCCCGGCGCTGTGCGCCCCACGGCCCCGCCGGGAGCCGGGGTGCCCGGGGGGGCTGCGGGCCGGACAGCCCGGGCCGCACCGGGGCACCCGGCTGCGCAATGGCGTCGCCGCCGAGGAGAGTCAAGGGCTGGCGCAGACCCTGGCACGGCTCGGTGAGAGGAGCCTGAGCCATCGCTCCCCACCTCTGCTGCTGGGGCAGCCGAGCAGCTGCTCCCGAAAGCAGAAGGGTTTGCGGTAAAGCAGAGCGAGCCGGGGCCTGCGGCAGCCCCGGGGCCGCTGTGACCGCAGAGCAGGCTGGCAGCGCTGTGCCCGGCCATGGCAGCAGCCACACGCATCCGCTGCCCTGGGTTCGTGTGCTTCGCAAAGCCAGATCCTGCAAATCTCCATGAATGTTCCCACTAAATTCCGAGGACATTTTCACGTGTGAGGCTTAACTCGCCTGCAAAAGTATTCCCAGAACTAGGCCTCACTTAAACTGTCTATGACAGCTTGAGTTTAAGTGCCTCTTCATCTAAAATCCAGTTGTTACCCACACATTGCATCCCAAACTGCTGCAGCACCACACCACCTACTCGTGACCGCAGAGCGTCCCAGCAGAGCCCTGAGACAAGTTTCTCTCTTCTGTGTTGCTTTTCACACCACCTATTATAATAACAACAAGTTACAACATCGCCAATGCACAGGTAACTAGTGCAGCGGAGTTCGTGAAGGGATGCATGTAGCAGGGCTGAAGCTAAATTATTTTTGCAATTGCCTCTGTTCAGCCTTAATATTAGCATTAATATTTTCATTTTCCTTATTTAAATACAATAAAAGGGAAAATTGCTTTTGCTTAATATTGTTACTAATCAGGTTTTGCAATTCCAGTTTTTATAAGGTGATAAAGTCACTAAGTTAGTGTACATCTTTTCTGTTGCTGGGCTCAGTGCCCTCAGCAGCAGTGTATTTTAAATGGTGGGATCACCTATTGCAGCTGGGAAAAGAGTTGTGGGAAGAAAGAAATCATTCTTGGACTATTGTACAGTCCAAGCATCATTTTAAGAAGTCTGAAATTGAAAGCACTGGGTTGTTTGGTTTGGTTTTTTTTTTTCTTTTTTAAACCCAAGCTACTCAGGATGCTATCTGGCTTGGCTAGAAAGACAAGTTTGCCACATGTTTCTGTTCTGGAATCATTTTGAACTGCTTTTACGCTAGATTCTTAACCTTTCTTAACTCTACTGTCTCAGCAGAGTACAGAGTACATAACTGATACGTATTTTTGGTAGACTTGAAAAGCAGTGTGTACAGCTTGATTGTTGTCTGTATTTCGCCATTCATTTTTAAGTGAGGCTCTTTTGATTGATGTGAGGAATTTGTTTGAAAGGATGAAGGGTATGGCATAGCTGCCCAACATGCTACTTACAATTACACCATACCTCAGCTAAACAGGCATTTTTCATTGTGATTGTTACACCTTTAAAAGCAAATGAGTTAATCAAATTGCTATTTTTGGAATGCACTCAAAGGAACATTAAAATGCATTAATTTCATTAAAATAAATGAGCAGATAGGTAACAAAACAAGTATCAGCCAAATAAGCAAGATCTCAACTATCGAGCCAAATCCAGCCCTAGTGAAATCATCTGAGCTGTACTTGTCTACAGCACATTTAATTTGGCTTCTGCAGTCACACAGCTGACGCTTTATTTGGTTTTCAGAGGTGTGTATATTAAAAATGTGTGACCCGTGCTGCTTCTCCAGAGTGATTAACCACTGAAGTTAAATTCACCTGGTTTCCATTTAGCTCTGCTGTGCAGTCCTATCACACTTGCAGTTTTTGGTGTGCATACACACCTGAGATGCAGAGAGGCATTCCCAGCCCCTGTGTTGGTCTAAGGGATGTGAGTTGTGTCTGAAGTGAGGGTGTGATGAGGTGGATTTCAGCAGAGGCTGTTCACAACCAGCTGCATATATATATGCTCCAGTTAATAGGCTGTACTGGAGTCTCTGCTACCATCTTTCATTACTGCTGTTACTCATGCCAGTGAGAGTAAAGGAAGGGTTGGTGTGTCTGTAATCACACATTAATTTGCTATGTAGATATATCCTAAGAACCTCTCAACCCAGGAAAATTATGCTGGAATAAGGTTGGATGTGAGTGTAAAGCAGAACTGTGTACAGATAGTTTATTCATTCTGGAATGGCCAAGTTGTTTCCTGGTTTCACTTAATCCACTTTCAAAGTGGATTAATATAATTCAAGAAACTGAATTCTTACACTGGCATAAGAGTTGTCTACACATGGGTTTACTCAAACATAATTACTGCAGTGTACCTAATAAGTATCTTGAAATAATTTAGTGTGTAGACGAGTCTAGAGTCCCACAGGTGAAAAAAAACAGAATTTAGCCATTTTCTACAACATAAAGGTTAATTTAGCCCAACATTTGACCTACTTCTTTCCTCATGAAGCACATTTAATTCATTATAGGTTTTTCTTCCTTGACAAAAACCCCACAACAGAAATGTATTTATGATCAGTTTCAAGATAGCAACGCCATGTGCACTCCACTAAAAATAAACAATTTAACCAGTGGATACTCTAAATAATATTTTCAACTGCTCTAAAGAGATGAAAAGGTTCTTTACTGGAAGAAATACGAATTTCTCAGTCATAAATATTTTGAGTGGGTTATTCCAAACAAAAGGAAAACAAACCCCAAGCTCCGCTCTGCCCTCTGAGACACCCACAATCCATTTGACAGCATTCCATTCATAGCAATAGCACCCAGTCTGACTCAGCAATATTAGTTCCTGAATGAGGAACCTCACAGACTCACACAGAAGGGTTTGCAGAACAACAGGGCCTTCAGGAGGCACCTTAAGAATAGAGAGCTAATTTATGGTTTGCTTACAGAGGTATGAATCAGAGAGAACCTACCTGAAACCCAGGCAGCCTCTCTGCCACTGCTCTGAATCAGGTGTATTGCATCACTGGCATACAGGAAAGTGAGTGAACCGATAATGAGGACATACAAGATGTTTTGTGACCTTGTGCCAAGCGCAAAATTTGTCAAATGGCATTAAGTGTCATTCAACGTCACAGACATCCAGAAGAAGAGAGGTGACGCTCTGATGTGAATGAAGCCTTCTAAACTTTAAATTTAACTTTTAATTTAAATTTAATGTTTGTTGGTTTGCTTTTGTTGAAGGAAGGGGCGGGGGGGGGGATGGAGCCAAACGAAAACTAGATGAGGTAGGAATTATGAAAGCTCAGGTAGTAAACCAGACAAATTTTTGAAAGAAGCATAAATACAAAAGCCAAATGATACAAATTTATGACCCTTTAAACATTGAGATGGAAAAAGCCATTAAAAGCTATGAAGATGAAAAAAGTCCAACCTCTACTTTGTGTCAAAGACTGCAATGTGTCACACATTACAGAGGGTAACCCGGGATCTTCCCTTATGCAGATTAAGTAGTCCCAGCTACTCTGTGTAACAGGCAGTGATGCCCACAGGATTCTCATTTTGTGATTACAAGCATGGCTTTTCCCTCCCGTGCTTGTCTTGGTTAAGGATATAGGGAATGGATTTCACCTAAAACTCCCTCATGCTAAACCTGTTTATTTAAGTAAGAATAATTCTGGTAACAAGATAAGCATTGGCTGAAGAAGGTAAATGTGGAGAAACATAAACAAGAAATCAAGTATTTAAATTCTGTGGTGCTGTATGACTTTGACCATGAGTCTTGATATTAAGGCTCAAATACTAAGCCTGGTATTAAACTCAGATTGAAGGCAATGAGAGTTTTATATGAGCATGCCTGATCTGAAATCCTACTTGAATAAAAAAAATGGATAGGATTACTGTACACTGGATCCACCTGCAGTGCTGGGGTATCCTGGCTCTCCCCCACTCCTGTCATTACAGGGGCATTACTCATCCAGAGAGGAAGGTGTCTTTAAATCCCCAAGACGTTTGGCACAGCAAATGCAAGAGGAAATCTCAGCGCACGGCCAATGCCAGGCAATGAAGGATCCTCTGTGGGAGTTGGTTAGTAGTGCCAATGTTTGATATTTGTCGTAACAACCACCGACTGTTTTGTTTTTTGTTCTAACAATGTGAATTATGCATTAAACATTAATACAAGTGAGTGTACTTTCTTTTGATCTTCAAGCATAATCATTTCTAATGAGAGCTTATACATGAGCATTGAAACAAATCCCTGAGTCATGTGAATTTACATTGGTTTTACTCTGTGGGAAAGATCCCACATGAGTTACTCATGTCTGTAAAACATAACATACTTAGAAGAAAAAAAATGAGCTTGCATTTGTCTGTTGGAACATAAATATCTGCGTAGACATTTGGCTTGTGCCCTAGCAGTAATGAAACATTAAAAAGCTAATTTATCAGAGATCAGGATTCAGGGTGGGGCCCTCAACTAATGAGAGATCCAAGTCTGCTCATAATAAGCTCACCTCTTAGTTTCTACCATCTGGCTTCTTACAAGAGTTGAGTCTAGAATCAGAGGAATTTGAACTAGCTCTAACTAAAGGGATCAGAATTTGGCTTGCTTGATAGAGATAAAAGTTGCCAAACTGCCATCACCAAGTTATGATATGCCAATCCATGGCAAGCAAACTCTGCAGTGCTAAGTGGCACCTCTCCAAATGCCCTTGACAGCCAGTGCAGGCCGGACACACTGTAGAACCTGCTTGGCCATGTTTAATATCTGCACTTCTTAAAACAACAGTCACAAATGGTGCATTCCATAAAAACATAAACACTGTGGATTGTGCAACTGCCAAGACAGTTATTTAAAATGCAAACAGAATTTAAGCCCTTTCCCCTTTGACACGCTGCACAAATATTAAACCAACAAGTGATTAACAGTCTGCACTTCATCAGCCGTGCTGTGTGTGCAAGGGACAGGCAGCACACTGGGGAAAGTACAGGTGCAAAGCAGTACGTGATGGGTTCTCATTCCTGGGGGTGCAGGTACTCACTACAAGATTTCCAGAATGCCTCTTGCCTTTCCAAACAGACCTCAATGCCAAAGGTTGCAGGACATGGCTGTCAAGAAGGTATTACATTTAATGGCAGATAGGCTCTATCTATATTAAGGTCATATCTCAGGAATTCTCAGAAGCCCATTAATGTATTTTATTCTTAATGTGTAAGTGCTAAAGGAGTCCTGGAAGCCAGAAATCCAGGATTACCCCACATAAGTCAATGTTTTCATGGGAGGCTATACTCATGCTCTCTGCTGCTTCCCTTCTCTTGCCTGAATTACCATAAATACTGATGGTAGAGCTTCAAAAGTAGAGTGGAAGCAGCCTATGTATAGAATAGTTTATAGACTGGAGGAAGAGCAAACACAAAACCCTTCATCCCTGAACTTGAATTCTCAAAGTGCTTTGTTTTATATAATGACAGAGGAACTGATACTATTGCAGTAGAGAAGAAAGCACCCAAGACACTCCACTATGTAACCCCAACACTTTGTATTAATTACCTTCCCTGAGGTTGCACAACTTCACCTGGCATGTTAAGTTAAAAGATGGATAGGTCAATATTGGGTCTTAAATAATTTTGCATAGAAGGACTTCAACTCCACCTAGACTCTGATGAAGCACATTGACATTATCCAGCTTTAAAAGTTCAGTGAGTCTTCTGACTTTTCAGAATGTGTCAGTCCATCCCCAGGCACACACAAAAAGCTGTGCTTGCAAAGATGGTATAGATACAGGTAGAAAATGGTGTACAGAAGCATGTAGGGAGGCCTCTCTAAGCATCAGCCAGGGTGACAAAGCATACTGGCCCATGGGTTCCCAGGCTGTATTCACAGCCCTGGAATGCCTGCTGGAAGCACTCCCCTGTAATTTAGCTCATTTGGTGTGCATTAAAGATGCTCATTTCTAGACCCCTAAGTGAAATGTGATACTGAACTCATTCTTCCTCTTACACCAGCAGGCCTCAGCAGATGGCCAGAAGGCCGATGGGAAGGAGAGAACACCAATTTTAATCCAGTTGTTTGTGATGGAAAACTATGAGAGGAGTGAAAAGACCTTATTCCACAGGCCAAGGCATTTACTTTATTTAACTGCCTAACCTCAGTCAGAACACTAAATTTCATTACTCTAGATGAATGTTATGGTATGGTGAAGTCTTATTTGGTAATTATCTGGTCAGAGCCACAGACTAGAAACAAGATATGCAGCCAGTGAAAGCCCAGTGGAGTCACACCAGTTTATACTAGCTGAGAATCCAGTCTTCAATTTTGAATAAAAAATTTGAGAAGTTGCATTTTTCCATGGCATTTTGGTCATATTATACAGGAAAAAAAAAAAAAAAGGAAAAAAGAAGCAAGAAAATAAAAAGTGTAGCTATGTTTATAACCAAGACAGAAGCAGAACCAATGTGAAATCTTTAGCAATGAAATTCTTCATCCAAATTATTGGGTATTAGGTGTTGGTGCCATGTGGATTACTGTTTAAGTTTAGGGCAGCAAGGTAAGCTCATTTTCTTGCCTCTGTCTTTTCAGTCACCATTAGGGCTGCAACCTTCCCATCCTCCAGGGAGAGGGAGAGAAGTTACACAATGGGTGTTTTTCCATGGGCGGATGTCTAAATGTGAAGGGAAACAATTGAATTTTAATGACAATTTTGAGACTCTTGAAGTTAATTTCTGGGCAGTGCAGAAATTAGTGGGGTTTGCTGCTGCCAAGAGTGGCATGTTCTCCTCTCCTGGTATTAGCAGGACTACAGGTCTCAGCTTTTGGCAGAATTAACTCCCAAAATAGTAGGTCCTTCTCTCTTGCCTTCTCTCACAAGGGAGAGCAAGAGACATGCTGCTGCCAGACTCAACCAAGTGTCAGTGCAGAGCAGTGGCTACAAAAACCAGGGTAACTGCACCAGACTTACACTACCAGAGATGTGTTCTCATCAGATATTTACAGTATAGTAGCATTATCTGGGGTGGAATGGTAAATTTGTTAGGTTCTTCACAAAACATTTAACCAGAAAAAGTTCCTGCATCAAAAAGCTCTACAAAAGTCATTGCAGAAGGAGAGTGGCAAACAATAGGATATCCTGGGAATGGCCAGTGATTGCAGCAAAGGCAGCCAGCTATGAAGGCTTTTCCTACACGCAGGGTAATGTTAATTCTGCCATGGAGGCAAGTTACTTCCTTTTCAGCTATGCTATTTCCACTCCATTACTGAATCATGGTTTGTTAATAGCTTACAAACATCAAGTTTAAAAAGTTTTAGGAACTTTGTCATACCTAAGACAATATGTTCCGATTTATCAATTTCTATAAAAATACATGATCCAATAGGTTTTGGAGTTGTGGTTGTCAGGGTAGGGTTTTTTAATGCCTTTAATAAAGAAGGGATAATTTTGGTCTTGTTTTTGTCTTCTTAGAAGATTCAGAAAGGAATAAAAAGGATAATCCCAAAATCTGTATATATCTACTTGTAAATAGCAAAGCAGAAAATAAAAGATGCTTCAAAATAGCGCCAGTCATTTAGTCTGCTCTGTAGTTGGATGATAGAATGTCAAGCATTTTCACCAAAGGCACGAGACCCACTACAGAGGACTGTCTTTTCAGTTTTGGGCTATGCAATTACAGCCCCAAACAGGTCATGGAAGGGATCAGCCTTCCCCATGTTACCCCTCTGGTCAGATGGCAGCTCCAGCCAAAAGGAAAAAAGAAAAGAGGACAGCCGTAGCCACCTGGCACTGCCTTTTTGCACAGAAAAAAGCAGGCAGGGAAGGAGGGACCTGGTATCCAGCCAGGTGTGGCAGGACTTACAAGCCAGGCTGCCAAGCTGGAGCTCATCTTCTGAATGGGATTCTGCTGGGGAGGGCACAGAGAAGGTAACATTGCGGAACTGCTTCCCTTGCAAAGATCTCTGTGTCCCTGTTTAGCCTCTCCCATGAGATGGCCAAACATGCCTCTTACTTGGCAGAAAAATTTTCAGCCTGGTGCTGAGTATGTTACTGTGTCCCCCAGCCCACTACAAGGTGTTCATAAAACATTGTCGCTTAAGTGCTCCTGAAGTTCTCTCACATTGCAGCCAGTTCTTATTTCAGTTACAGAAGAATTAAAAGAAACATTAGGGAGACTCACATTACTGACTGATACCAAACCATTTTTTCCTAATACAGTTTTTATATACAGTACCCAGAGTTTAGCTGTGTCCATTATTTCCTTATTAGGAAAGGAAATTATTTCTCCAAGAGTGATTTTACTTACAGCAAATTTTTGCACTGTACTACTGGATACTATGGTACAGTTACTTGCTCTAGAACAATTTCACTTGTTTAGAAACTCCACCATAATGTTTTGCCACTAGATTTCTGCTGAGAAGTAGAAACACTAGCTTACAAACACCCAAGTCCTTACGGAGCCTTCCTGAGTTATGCTTGTCAGGCTTGCACACAGCTAAGTCTCTGTGCCCCTGCTCTGAGCTCTTGGGACATGGATGCTCAGTTAAGACTACAGAAAAAGGAAAAGCATGGCCATGATCAGCACACAATCGTTTCAATGGCTGTTAATGTAAAAACATCTCTAACCTTATTTACTATAGCCAGATAAATGGTAGGAGACATACTTTTGTATGAACCAATTTATTTTTTTCTTTTTAACTCTTTTGTATGAGTAATGATTTTTGAGAGGTTGGTGTAGTCATGTTCAGTTGTTACAAAGCTGATGCTTCACATTTCTACCTGTACAGATGGGATATTGCATTTCTAAGTTACCAAGACCACTTAAACATCCAGAAACAGTTTCCTCTATTCCAGCAGTAGTTGCCGCTTCTCAGGACAATTCTTTAGGTACAAGTCCAGTAGAAATGGCCCTTCACTATTTTCCACTACAGCTCAGGTTTTCTGCCTCAGCTTTTATGCAGCTGTGAGCATGTACAAAATAGGATGCTAGTTTTCATCCCCTCAGTCCAAGAAAAGCTATGCAAGAGTAATTCCATCTGATTTCACATAATTCTGCTCTTGCATTTAGAAATACAGGAGTTGACAGTCAAGAAGTTCTTTGGGTGCTGGAAAGATTAACAGGTCTTCCAATTCTCATACAGGTGACCACAAGGTACAAGCATTATAGACGTTTGATGAATGAAGGGTTGCCACCAAATGAAGCTCTAGAGGAAATCATTGAAACAAGGTTTAAGGAGTTTGTGAAGGCACTGTGAAATGAATGCACTTTATGAGGCTACAGTGTGTGTGTAGAAGGTATATGCAACCTGCTCTGTATTCCTAAAATGATCACCAACACATGATCAGGAACTTGGGCTTCTGAGAGTCATTTCTCTCTCTGTGTCTCAGTTCCCTTATATGAAAGTCAGGATTAGGTCTTTGGTGCCCCTTGGATGAACAGAACAAATTCACCTGTTAAATGTCCAGTGTTACAATCAATCACAGGTTTACCACGTCTTTTCTACCCAAAGATTTAAAACTATTAATATCAAAATAAGCCACTCAAAAATTAGTAAAGATTGCAGAAGTCCCAGATTGTGGAACATGAATCTCAGTGATTTCAATGGATGTGATGCCAGCCTCAGAGATAAGATTAACTTTGATGTGAAAGATCCTACCACTCCAATGACAAATGGTCTGTTCTGGATTTTCTGTTAGTTCAGGAAAGATCTATGCCAGTCCCATCACAGTCCCTCAGCTATTGTCCCCCCCAACTTTGAATATTTTCCTATGAATGCTGCTTGCTACCTAATAAACAATCGAAAAAACTTCAGATGCCAGCATTCTATGCTTGAATATATTGTATGTTTTTTCCCCTTAAATAATTTTTATTTTGAAATATTGATGAAAATTTATCTGCCGGGTAATCAGGAAAGGAACTGAGATATAATCCTGTCATTATAGTCACTCTCACTTACATGAGTCTACTACAGGTGATCCTTTCTTACATAAATGCAGTTATGCTTAAGGAAGGTTAGATGCTACATTTTCAGTAATTTCTTTCTTCTACCAAGACAGATAACATTGGATGCATAAAGTTCCTCTTTTATGTGGCACTTCCTTTAAAGCAAGTTTGTCCCCTTGAGTAAATTTTCCCTTGGCTGTAATGTGAGATATATATATACACACATCTGTATCTGTCAAAGATATCTATATATATCTATCACACACCACTGGAAGATGTTATTACAGATTGGAAAAAGAAAAACAAAAAGGACATATTTCTCTACTCAGTGTTTAAGAGAATTTGGTATCACCGAATTTAGAAGCGTAAATTCCTTTTTTTTTTTTTTTTTGCAGCTGAATACACCACCCACCCCAGCAGCACCTGATATCAGTAGCAGTTCATGTATGTGTGTAGCTGCAAAATCTTTTGATATCCAGGTGTCACTGGAAACCATCAGTGGATTACAGTACTTTTTTTTTTTACATATGTAAAAGACGCAATCAGCCTAAAAGTATTCAACATTTTCTATGAGGACATGTTGTGAAGAATTCCAAGTGTCTTTCGAACATGGAGGAGTCACTACCCTGTATCCTACTAAAATGCATACTACTTCCAGCATTTTTCAAGTAGACAAAATGAATATGGAGGGAGGAGGGAAGAAAATTGTTCAGAGAAAATTCAAGTTAGAGGGAAAAAAATTCTTATTTATAGTTCAGAGATCTGTGCTGTTTTAATTCCTCCTTTAAATTACAAATTGCAAGCCTGTTTCAGATATCTTGCTCTTCTTGCAAATACAAAAATATGAAAGAATAAGGTAAAAAAGGATATTAAATAGTGATTAATTTGTTCAGAAAGCATTGAGTGATAAGCATCTGCACGGAATTACATAGCTCAGATCTACTTGAAAATTTTTCTAACTGGAAGAAAACATTCAAGTTCCTCACCCATTTTAACAGCTGTCATAAATGGATGTTAAACTTAGCAGCAGCAGTTCATTGGCAGCTTCCCAAGACTGGCATCAATGTAAGAATTTGTATTTGATATGAATGAAAAAAAACCCAAAACATTGTTAATACTGTATTTGAATGAAGGTTTGAAATAGTTAAATGCAAAACACCATAGATGCCACTCATGGACATGATAACTATTTCAGGGGAAAGGGAGGAGGGAAAACTTCCTACTGCATGATGAAAAATATAGGAGTAGAAATATTTGAAGAAATTAAGGCCTGGAACTACAGCTTTCAGCAAAGAAGATGATGTCAGTTCTGTGTATTTTTGCACAAGAAAACCAAAATGCTGGCTGGGATTTCTGAGCATTTCCACAACCCAGGCAGTAAGAGGAAGCTGTTCAAAATCAAGAGTTCTAGTGTTAACTGCAATTAAAACAGACCAGAGCCTTTATCTTAATCAGTTACTTAGAATGAATTGATACTGATTTATCATCTTTTCTCCCTCCACGTTTAGAGTCAGAGCCACTTACACATTACTGATGTGTTTTCAAAATCCCACACATGGGCAACAACATGCAGTTCTTGCAAATATTTTGGGGGAAGGGATTGCCTGTATGTTGCTAGTGCTGTACTTCAGGGTCATGAGTCATTAAGAAAATATGGAGAAATATTTATTTTTGTCCTTTGAATAAGAAGTCTTTTGTGACAGAATATAAACGTGGGGAAGTAGTTTCTAAGTTTATTGTTACTACTCTATTTATTAAGAATGACAAATTTTAAAACAGTTTAAATACTTGGATGGAAACATGTCATTATCTCCAGTATTTTCTGTAAATGTTCAGTCAACATCCTAATTGTATTCCTATCCAATATAATGAGATGAGCTTTAGCTCTCTCCATACATGACATAGCAGTAAGAAAAAAGAAAAGATCTAAATGCTATTTATTCAGCAACTGAATCTTAGCCGAAGCAAACTACCATTTACTATGGTTAGTGATAACTTTACACATATAGTAAGCGCATAAGGCACTTGTAACATTTGAAAGCCTGAGATTTGTATTATCCTGTAGAATCTTTTAATTTAATTTAGGTATATACTGACAGAATTAAACACAGGCATTTACAGGAAAAATAAAAATTGTTAGGGCTGAGATAAGCAAATAAAAGAAAATAAATACAACAGTAAAGTTGCTAATGCTCTGTTCTCAACAAAATTCTTATAGTTATGTGCTCTCCTTTCCCTTCTAGCAATATGTAATTCTCTGCAGGGATGTCAAGGGGACCATTCTCTCCATTTTCCTAAAGTTAGCAAGCCAACATCTGCTAAATGCAATACAACATGCTGTTTACCTTTGTTGTAAACTTGAAGCTTTTCCATTTAAAAACTGTATAAATTAATCAGTATTCATTCACACCTATGCCTAGAAATATCCATTACAGAGCAGACAATTCTCATTTTTAATCTCCTCCTTATTCTGATTTTTATGCCATATTCCTCTGCACTGATGCTGTTTGGAATCACTCTGGATATATTAACAAATACAAGGAAAGTAAAACAAAAGACAATGGGGATTTTCCCCTCATTTTCTGCAAGTATTTATTGACAGAGAAAGATGATAAAAATCCAGAGTAAAAGGTCTTGCCTGACATCTCCTTTAAACTCGGTAGTTTAACAAACTGCTACAAAACAGAAGTTTTGTCCCCTGCTCCAAAAACCAAGATGACAAAATCCCAAACTATATGTTTAGATTTGCCTTCTAAAATCCTGTGGAATATTTAATAACTTGTATTTGATGGCAGAATTTCCAATGTAAATAGTAGGGGGTTGTCTGTTTTGTTTTGATTTTTCAAAATGTATATACATTTCTCATCTGCTGAAAGGAAATCTGCCTACATCAGCAAAAAGTACAGATAAAAAGAAAATACTAATTAACATGAAAAAATGCAACCACCCTTTCTTTAGTGAATGCTTTTGAATCAGAAAATATTTTTTCTCATGCTGCAGCAGAAACCCTGAATTTGAACGAGCACCCACTAACATCGCTTGTTCCTCTAATTGTCATCATTACTAAGACAGAAGCAGCTTTTGTTGATCACACAGAGCATTCTCTAAAATCCATTTTTCCAATCAGGTTTTTATTCTCCTTCTCACCTGTCTGCTTTTATTTAGTTTTAGGCACAGTTACAGCTGTACTTGGGTTAACTTGTGGCAGTAAGGCATTTGCAGAAGCTGTTGTTCTCAGTAACGTTGGCTATTGCTGATTACAGCATTGCTTAAGGCAGATTCCTTGTTCTAAATGGCATTGAACATTTTTACCTGGGTATTGCAACACCACATTATGAGCACTGGGATATAAACAGAACAGTAAGCAGTGTTGCTGGCCTCTGGATTTAAACCATAAGCCAGTAGACTTGTGTGTGGAGACACAGCTAGAAAATCGAGCTGTCACCAAAGTATCTGATACAATGTCTGTATCTTTCTCTAATTTGCTACTGACCAATTATTACATTCAACTCTGAATCACGGTCCTAAATAATAAAGGTCAGAGTTTTCATGGACATCTTCTGTGTTTGAGTTGCTACCTTGAAATAGCTAAAGCTGTGTTTTACAGTTGCAAGGTTCCCAGATTTCTCACTGGGATTGTATGCCTTCAACATCAGAAAAAACAAAGCCAGAACAGGCCCCACATCACCTCAAATCAAACCCCATTTCATTGGAAAAATGGATTTAACCTCTGCCAGAATGATGGGCTGAATCCCTATAAGTGTATTCACATTAAACAAATCCCACTCTAGAACATATGTTTAGTCAATCCCAATCTGATCTCACCTCATTTCTCAACTTTGTTGAATACCAGAAAAAAAAAAAAAAAAGCTATACTAATTCTGGACATTTAGCACATCATAATAAACATTCGCGGCATTTTTATGTAATACAAAACTACTGCAAATACAATATTTTCTAAAATAATTTTATAGGATCTCTACCTATGTAAAAACAGCAAATATTTGTGGACATTCTCACGATTACAAGAATTAGATTGATTCAGCTTTTAAGTGCTACAGTCATCCATGATATCCTCAGTTATAAAGATGGGAGCACACCAGCACTGTTAGGGAAGCGTGCTGGAGTTCAGGACTCTGATCTGGCTCTGTCTGTAACCTGCTGTGACCTACTCCAATGCAAGATATCCAAACTTCCTTTCTCACACCAGCTTTCCTAATACCTAACTCCCCCAAATAAAGCATTTTCCTACTTCCATGTATCAGGAGGAGAGGTAAGAATCCTGTGATAACAGATACTTTTGAAGTTACTGGGATATCTTAGTGCAAGGCAAAATAAGCTTGGAGTTCTCTAACATTTAATAATGATTAATAAAGAGGGGATAAGACTACTGCACATGGTAGCAAATAAAGATGTTTCCTTTTCCAAGGAAGTTTATTGTCACTACCGAGCCACACTGCAATCTCCCATTAACCACATTAAACCTGTCTTTTAAGCTGTGATGCTGCTCTATGAAGACAGTCCATCAACTTTGAAATTAAGCCCCAACTTGTTTGACTCCTGCCAACACTTTACCATAGTCCTATCAAACAAACACGAAAAACAGCAAAAATACAGTGATGGAGACAAAGCCATTCTGAGATTGTGCATCCCAAACCAATATGTGTGCCCTAAAATCTAGCATTCAGAAAACCTTCATTTGTGTCACCAACTGCCTCATTACGATGTGCTCGCCAATTATTTTCTTCCCTTTCCCACCAGAAAGGGCAGAAAGGACGCTTGTTTAAATGGCGAAAGGAGTGCTAGGTCCCCCGGTGCTGTGGCTGCAGGAGCCTCTTCTGCCTCAGCATCACTGCGAGCACGGCCCGGCTCCAGCACCCCTCCCGACCCCTCGCTCAAGCAGACAACGCTGCGGGATCTGGGGAATAGCTCTTAGCCCTGGGAAGGGACCCTCACCCTCTTTCCTTGCTCAGACATCCACTTATTGTAATTTCTCAGCTTTCGGCAACTTTGCTGCGCACCAGCAACCCCTCTGGAAACTTCGAGGAGAGGAACAAAGGGGCAAAGAACAAAGAGACGGGGAAGGGTAGGAAAGGGAGGGAAGGGAAGGGGGAGCTTCTCCTTTTCGGGTCAGGCCGGAGACCCCCGCCCCCGCTCCGGCGCCCCCAGGGTCAGCCGTGCCCGCCCGCCACGGAGCCCCGGCGGCGGCTGAGCGGGGACGCCCCGGGGTGGCCGTGGGAGCCCCGCCCGGGCTCTGAGCCCCCACACAGACCCTGCCAGAGCTTGCTCGGGGCCTGGTTGGTGCCCGACCGCTCAGCGCCCGCTCCTGCCGTGCCCTGAGCCATGAGGCAGGCTGAGGCTGCCCCGCTACCCCCGCACACGGCAGTGCCTTCCTGGCCGCACAGCCCTGTCCCAGCGAGGGCCCGCACCGAGCATCCTCGGCAGCATCTCCCGCTGGGGCCGGAGGCGACCCGCTCCCCAGGAGAGCAACACGTGTCGTCCCCACGGCCGGGGTCCCAGAGCCGGGGCCGCTCCACGGGACGGCTTGAGGGGCTTTTGGAGACAGCTTGAAAACAGCAAGAATCCGAGGCGAAACAGCCGTCCCGTTTCGCTGCGGGGATCGCGCTCCCCTCGCAGCAACGTTAAACTTTTACCAAAGTATCGCTATGCACCCCTTTTTTGATGGTCCGCTTCCCTCACAGCCCACCTTACCGAAAGCGACCCTTTGGCAAGCGTCCTGCTTCCTCTGTTATCAATTAAACACCCTCGAAGAGCTGCAGGTGCCCTCGTTACCTGTTGCTATGAGGCCCCTGCCCTCTTATCGAGGGATGAAGGTAATTAAATCTGTTTTCATGGTGTGGTCATACTGTGCTGGCCGTGGGAGGTGTAAACCCCGTGCGGCTGCGGGCAGAGAGCAAGGGAAGAGGGGGAAGGTTTGCGCAGGACAGCCGTGCCCGGCGTCGCTGCCCAAGCTCAGAGCGAAGCCAGCGGGGCAGGGAGAGCCAAACCCCGGGCAGGGCAGCAATCCTGTCATTAGGGACCACACGCACTAAGTGCTATCCTGCAACTACCTCTTAGAGAACGGCAGGGAATTATCATTATTCTTTTTGGGCAGGCATTTCCAATTTGGAGTTAATTGACGCGGTTCTTCATTTGAGTAATGACCAAAAGAAAGCCAAGCTTTACTTGAGAAACTTTAGAGGTTTTTCTTTCCCCCCCCCTCCCCCTTTCTTTCTTTTTGATTTAAGAGAGAAATGAGCTAACAGAACCTCCTGAAGGTGAAACTGGTCTAGTCCTTCATCGGGAGCGGGAACAAGCCGCGAGCCCGGTGCTGAGGTGGGATGCGGATGGCCGCGGGACGCGGTGCAGGAGCGGTTCCGAGCTGGACTCCCACTGAACCAGTCCCGCCACTCCCAAATCCCGAGGGGGAAGAGCCCACTCATAAGCCTTTGCCGTGAGCATCCCTCATGAGAGAAATCAGAGAATGATGAGGAACGGCACAAACAGTTTAGAAACCTGAGGCTGGCGATTGAGGACCGTGAGGCAGAGCTGGAACATGCGGTTGCGTGAAACGCTGCCCTGGGAACGGGAGGAAAACTTGAGCGCAGCCTGTGCCCTGAGTTAACTAAAGCCAATTACTTGTCTCCATATAAAAGGTTTTGCGTATGGTTACAGCTGAGGAAATACGAGAAGCTGATGAGTCTGTTTTGGTTATGATTTAATCAAATAAATTAAAGGAGAAGGGAAAGGATACGCCCAATCTGTGACTTAAAAAAAAAAAAAAAAAAAGAGTTTTTTGGGACGCTGTCTGTCCAAAGCCTTTCCTGTTGTACAGAGCAAAGCGAGGCTCTTGGAGTCTACTCATCTCATTACTGCTGGGTGTTTGGGGTTTCTCTTTTCCTCCCAATGGAATAACCTTTCATAAACAATTGCAATTTCGGGGGGAAAAAGTGAGTAGGTGCCAAACCAAGCTGGGGGTGGGGCAGAATTTTGCGTTTCAAGCAATTTAGCAGACAGCAATTCTGCTTACAGCAGAGAGGTAGGTGGATACTTGAAAACATCTTCCACCGGGGCGTCCTACTTTGGCAATTCTAATTAAAACGAGGTTTAAAAGATGCAAAGAAAGAGCAAGCCTCTTGCTTTATTTCCAATGGGCGTGGGGGATACCGTCAGGCACAAAGAGTGCTTCCAGCTTGTTCTAACGTGCACCTTTGTTTAAAAGAAAAAAAAATAATCAAGCTCGTCCTCTGATTTCAGCTAATGTATTTTTAACTGGATTTCTTTCCTCTTCTTTGTGTGATCTGATACCCACCGTGTAGCCCTGGCCCACTTTCAGCCCTGCGGGTGCCCTGCATTGTGTCCGTGTCTGAAAGAAAAGGGAAAAGTCTTCCATCTCACACTCTTTTGCCCTGTACCTGTGCTTGGGAATTGAGTCGTGTCCAAGCTAATGGTCAGCAAAACCCGCATCCTATTCCCCTTCTCGCTGCCTAACCCGAGAGGAGACGCGACTTTGTAGGTGCAGTCTGGCTGGCGTGGCTGTGACCGTCCAGCACTTCGGATCAATAAAGCAGCCAGTTTTCTGACGTTTCTTTTCCACGGCTGCTTATTGAAAAGGAGCCTTTACCGCCACCTATAAATAGCGCTGCATCCAAGTCAGTCTTTCTTTTTTTTTTTTTTTCTAATTTTTTTTCCGCTCTACCTAAAGTAGCAAAGTTCTAACCAAGATACCTCAAGTTCTCCTTTGCTGCTCAGCGAGGGCTCGCCCCGGAGGGGCTGCTCTGGGGGTCCTGGCTCCAAAGGCGGCTGCGCTGCCGCCTCCAAAGGGAGCGGGGGCTTCGGCGGAGCCAGCCCCAGTCCCGCACCGGCCGCCTTTGAACTTTGTTCTCAGGCATGGGAGGGAGAGCAGCGAATACCGATACTCACCGCGCTGTTTGGCTTTCCAGATGTAACCCCGTCTCTCCTTCTTCTTTGTGTAAAAATGAGCAGAGGTTACATCCCGGGCACGCGGTATAATGCCCTGGATAACCCCGACCCTGTCTGTTAATTTAATGCTACGCTAACCTCAGAATGTGTGATTGGAGCTCGAGTGTTGGGTTAGAAAAGCGCCTCTCCACGCTGGAAACAAATTCGCATTCTCTCTCCACACCCACCCCCTTTCCACGCGGAGTCTCCCAGCCCTGCATTCCTGCACAAACCAGGACACCTACCTTTCCGAGAGCCACGTTCCCTAGCACAGATTGCATTTTTTGCCCGCTCTGGAAACAACTGTGCAATTCCCCAGACCCACGTGCCGTGCCCTGCCTGCTGCGTGGGGCTTGGATTCACGCACTGTGCCACGCCGAGGTCTGGCACTGCCGGGAGAGCGCCGAGACCTCGCGTAGGGGAAGGAAGGAGCTGCCTGTCTCCCCCCGTGCCCCTTGCTGGGGAAGGAGCGGCAGGGGCGAGGGGCCGGGGCTCTCTCTCTCTCTCTCTCTCTCTCTCTCTCTCTCTCCCCCCACCTAAAATCGCACGCTCAGCCCGCGGGACTGGGCTGCTCTGCGGGCGCTTTCTACCTGCCTGCACAGCGGGCTGGGAGCTCACGGACAGTCATTGCTGTACGCGGAGCGATCAAAACCCCCTTATCCCCGCGTGATCTCTCTCTCTCTCTCTCTCTCTCTCTCTCTCTCTCTCACTCTCTCTCTCACTCTCTCTCTTTATTTATTTATTTTTAATTCCCTTTCAATTTCCCAAATGAGGTTTGATGAATACAGCTCGTTGTCCGTGTTGATACCAGGGTAATAATTGTCAGGGGGTCTGAGCGCTCCAGGAAAAGGAAAGCGGAGGAAGAGGGAGGGATACAGCCTCCGCTATCTCGCTGTTACTAATTCCCAGCCGGCTCGGACTCAGGGGACAAGGCGATCGCTTAATAAACCCTCCTCCTCCTCCTCCTCTCCTTTCACCACTCCTTCCTTCCTTCCTCTTCGCCGGCACATTTTCTCCCCCGCATTTGCCCACGTTTCATTCCTCCCCTTCATGAGGAATAAACCGTGCAAACTCGAACTAAAAAGAAAAAAACAAAGGGGAAAAAAAATGCAAGATGAGTGGGAAGGATACAGGAGGGGAATAAAAAAAAAATAAGAAAGGGGAGGGAGGAGGAAAAGGACAGAAAGTGTCTGTGCCTGATCGCTGACCATCTGTACAAAAGGTGATCATTGTTAGCTACTCACATGGCTGGTGGCAGAGCAGCTCTTAGCAATTAATAAGTCTCTCAGCTTGAGCTCTTCTTTCCCCTTTTGGATGGCAGCGCTCTCTGCGTGGCTCGCTCTCACTCGCGCGCGCACACACACAAACCCGATCAGATGCTTCAGGACCGGCCACTTTGCGAGGGCAACAACACGGGAGGGTTTGTATTACTCCAGGTTCGTGTGTGTAGCCTATAAATAGCGAACTTTTTGATGGAATCAGCTAACAAATGAGAGAAGAAGGCGTAATTTTGCGCAGGGAGCCCCCCTTTCTCTTTGCAAGATTAAAACCCCCCAGGCAGCCCACAGAGCTAAAGTTGTGGGTGTGTAGAAAGGAATTTCACTTTATTGTGATCGTGCGCGAGATTTGTTTGTTTATTTTGGGGGTTTCTCTTGTTCCTCCCCCCACCGCCACCCCCCACCAACCTACACTTTACATTCTCCTCCCTGCCTTCCCAGCTAGGGGAAGGAACTGACCCGTATTAGCACCGACTTTAACTCCAAGTTGGGAACACACGGCGCATTTGAGGTTTTTCTTTTTCTTTTGGTGGTGGTGCCTGTTGTTGATTTGGTTTGCTTTGCTTTTATTTATTTTTTTTTTTCGGGAGGTGGGGGGAAGATGTCCACGAGATACCGCGTGGAAGTGCAGGAGGCGGGCGGGCAGGCTTCCCTGAACGTGCCCTCATTTTGAAAGCAAGTGAAGAACAGAAAGAAAACAGGTCGGAATTACTGGGGGGTGGGGGGGGAGGAGGGAAGAAGGCGGTACTTTGGTAGGGACGAAGTGTGTGACTGGGGCTGTGGGTCAGCCGTGGAGCGATGGCCCCACTCGAGATAAAGCTCCTCGATACACGTGGCTGTGGGGGTTCCGCGGTGCGGTCCCCCCTCGCCGCCGTCCCGCCCGGGGCAGCGGAGCCCCGGGAGCCGCGGGAGCCTCGTCCTTGTGGGTGGGCAGCGGAGCTGGCCCGACGGCTCAGGCCAGGGAGGAAGCCCCTGCTCCAGAGCCCACGCCAGCCTTCGTCGGGCAGCCTACGGGCTGTTCGGGGCCGGCTCCCCACTCCGTTCTCCCTCCCGCCCGCGTTTTGTAGGAAATCTGAGCGCTCCCGGCACGTTCGGCATTCCCCCGGTAACGACAGCCCCCTGTCCCCCGAGGACATTGATTTGCGGGAAGCTTAAGGCTGGGCCCTGTCAGCAAAGGGGCTGCCGCTGATAAGGATCCCACCGCGGCAGCTATGAAGAGATTTTCTCCCCTGACAGGTGCCTGACAGGGCTGGCCGGGAAGAACTGCTGACCTGTCTAAAGAAATATATCTGCGTCTCCCGGAATGGCAGGACAGATGGTGCCCGTTCGCACCGCGGCGACTTCTCTCGATGGCACACACCGAGCGGAGCTGATGAGCGGTTTGTTTTTATGGCAGGGAGGTAGCGATGCCCTCGGACATCCCGTGGCAAGGGCTTGATGGGAAATGTCCGCTCCTGTACAGGCGCGGTGCCTGTACCGAGACGCGTACCGGGAGGGCGGGGGACAGCGGCGTCGCTCCCGCCCGCTCCTGCCCCGTCCCTGCGTACATGACCTGCCGCAGGATGGCCGAGGAAAGGGGCTTTCGTCACCCCTGTCAGAGCCGCGCCCCCAGTTCCCTCCAAATTGGTCCTAAAGGTCGCTCCCCGCTCGCCCTCACGCCCCTCGGCCTCGGCGGCCTCGTCGGAGCCCCGGCAGCACCGGGCCGGGCTCTCGCTGCCTTTGTGCCGCCCGCGGGGCCGCGCAGGAGCCCGTGTCAGGCAGCGCACGGGGGTGAGGCAGGGCGCCCCCGGCCCTCTCGCTCTGAGCCGCTCTCCCGGGGCCCCGGCGGGGCAGTGCCCGGGCGCGGACAGTGCCCCGGCCGCACGGGCAGTCGCGGCCCCCTCGGCACCCCCGGCCCCGGTGGCGGCTCCGCCGGCGGAGCGGCGACCCCGGCAGTCAGTGCCTCTCCTCCCCGCGCCCGGCTCCGCAGCTCCCGAGTGACGCGCAGCCCGCCGCGCTGGTCCATCCGCACACATTTCCAATCTCATGGCTCATAAACTATTAGCGAAGGGATTTCATTATTCACCTTCCGTATCTTACAAAGGAGAAAGGGAAAAAAAAAAAAAAAACCAACCAGCAAAAAGCCAAACCAACAAAACATGCGCCTCTGGTAACAGCAAGACCGGGCCGGGTTTAAATCCCAGAGCCTGCCCAGGCTCAGGACTCTGGGCTCGGCTCTGGGCTGGCTCCGCCGAGTTCCTTCCTCTGGCGCTGGGCTCTGGCCGCGGCTGCTTGTCCCGGAGGGACTGCGGCGGTCAGCCTCGGCCCAGGGCAAAGCTAAGCAAAGCAAAGCCGTGAGCTGCGTTTTACCGGCCACGGAGAAAACATTCCAGAAGAAAGAATAAAACCTTGAGGATGAAAGGGTTGGGGGGCAGTCTGCTTGTTTTCCTTGCTTTTTTTTTATTTATCTTTTTTTCTTTTTCACCCTCTTTTTTTTTTTTCAATAGATAATACTAGGAGTTATTTAGCTCTCCATTGGAATGTGACAGATCAACTCCGGGGCGTGCAGCACAAGCGCGCCGCGGAGCGAGGGCCGGAGCCCGGGGAGGCGGCGGAGAGCGGGGGGAGCGGCCGGGCTGGGGCTGCGAGGGGCCGGGGTCAGGCCGAGCTGCGGGCGGGGCAGCCAGGGGCAGACGCGCGCCTCAGCAGGGCGCCTATAGAAACATAGGACCCGATCCAGGAAAAGTTACTGACAGCCTGGATGAGACGAACACAAATGTTAATACAGCTAACTTTGTTTCTTTCTTCTCCCGCCCCCCGCACTTCCTTTCACGATTTATTTTTTTTTTTTATCCTTTAAGAAATAGACTGCGAAGAAGTTTAGATCACGAGGTAATTATAAAAACCAATATAGAGATTTTGAAAGAGAGACCCACTTCATAATTTTATAGCGAGGAGCAAAATATTCTAGCGAAGTCTGGGGTCATCACCTGCAATAGAGCAATGTTCCCTCCCTGTTTAATATACATAGTGTGGGAAATGGAGGGAAAACATAGCTAGCACCTGTAGTGCCAAAGGAAAAAAAAATTAAATTACTACATCATATTTTGGGGCTATTTTGCAGGACATTCTTCAAAAATAGACCCATATTTAATTATAGCTCTGATAATTTTTCTCTATGAGACTGCTAGTTAATACTAAGAAGGAAATGGAGTTTCTATCGAGTTTTTAAATGTTGGTATCTTTAAAAAAATAGTAATTTTCCTATGTGCTAATAGCGCATCTGGGACTGCAAGTGACCAACCTGGATCAACTTTTAATTAACACGCTGACCTGCCGAAGAAGCAAAACTCCCTTAAAAAAAAAAAAAAAAAAAAAAAAGGTGTGTATATAAATACATCGCCGTGACCCTGGAAACCCCAGGGCTCTCCTTGCCCTTTTTGTAGGGAGGAGGTGATTTTCCAAAGGCGCGAGGAGATGCGCAGGTTCAGCCCCCGCCCGCCTCCCCTCCCCGCTCAGGCTGCGGGGGCAGCGGCGGCCCCGGGAAGGGGGGATGCTGTCGGAGCGGGCGGGGCACTATGACCGGAGCCCCTGATCAGCGTGTGCGAGGAAAACGCCGTGGCAGACAGGCGGAGGATTTGGGCTCTATGGGAGGTGTGGTACAAGCACCAGTGGGGGGATGGACACAAGCTCACGCGTGGGTGCTCCAAGCTCCAGAGCCTGTTCGGTAGCTCCCCCGCACGAAGCACAGAGGTCAGCAGCCTGAAGGATGAACTCCTTTTCTTTCTGCTGTTGCCTCGTCAATGCTTTGTTTGTCTTGTTTTTTCCCTTCATGGTTAAATTAAATATGGCTTTAAATTCAGTTTTTTTTCCCATGCACGTACACACTTCAGGCAGATTGGGTGCTGGAGACCGCCCCCACCCCCCAAAACTGGCACTGGAGTACGTTACTGCCGAGTTACACTTTAACTTCTCTGCAGGTAATAATTAAAGACCTTCTTTCTAAATCTCTTTCCCCCACAGAAACACCGAGGCTCTCTTTCGCAATAGATTATATTGATCACACACACGGGCACACTCTCGGAGCCGCCGTCTGTAAGCCGCTCTCAATTCCATGCGCTCTGCACAACTTTTCCCATATCTTCTCCCACTTTTTTTCCCGAGCTGAAAGGTTTCTTCAGGGATGCATTTCTATGAACAATTCCAAATCCCCCCAAGAGGAAGCTCCATGTGCAAAAGCCAGTCATCCAGATGCACACCTGCAGGCTTTGGCCATAAGTCTGAATTTTGTCCCACACTTGCTTTGTGTGTGAGTTTAAAAATAAGAGATACAGAAGGAACAAAGTCATCTGACATCTATAATGCAGTATGTCTGTCTAGTGAGAAGAACTCCAACTGTTTTTTAGTGGCGGCACTTTCCAAAGAAAACCTTCAGCCTTGTCCTAACAGCCATACTGAAAGTTTTAGGGGCTCTGAGTTACTTGAGATCACAAATTAATCTGCCAGAGAAGTGAGGAACACACCTGATATCAACAGAGGGTCAAGAGCTGGCCAGTTCCAGCTGGTCCCGCATTTGATTTACTTCAGGCTGTTAAGATGTATGCTGTGGTGTTTTGATAAGAAAAAAGGAGTCAGCAGTTTGATTTGGCAATTCTTTCTTTTTTTTTTTTTTCCCTCTGAAGAGAGCTGCAGTTTAAGCTGAGGAATTTGTTGTTGCTGGTGGGATGGTTTTTAGTGGAGGTTTTTGGTCTGCATGGGGCTATCTCATCACATACTGTTTACACTTAACTGTGTTCCTTACTCTCTCAAGCTAGCCAGACTGTGGCATGAAATTTTATGCAGCTTGTCTACTTCAGGTCTCCAGCATCTGTGGCCAGTGCCTTTTCTGGGGTTCACCCCAGCCAGAGAACTTGTAGCAACAGCAAGGGCAGGGATCATCACCCGGTGGGTCACACTAGCAACCCTGCTTGGTCTTGGTGGAGCCTGACCACAGCTTCCTCCTCACACCTCTCTCTTCCACAGGGCCTTTTCCCTGAGCTTCATCAGATGCCACTGAAATATTTGAATTTTGGGTTTTTTATAATGTACTGATGTACCCATACAAGCTGAGTGTGGAGGCTGCTTGCTCTCAGCTGAATTAAACTATTATTTGAGGATATCTCCTGCACCTGCTGTGCCCACTCTTACAGCCCCCAAAACTTTCCATCACAGGGAGTTAAATCACAGTAATTACAGCGGGGATGTTTTCTCAGATGTCTGTGTCTGCGCAGTGTAAGAACACCTGCAATACTCCAGACCAGAGGACCTTTGCACAAATGATGCCCCTCAGAGGTGGCACCAAGGGGTGCATAAACAGGGGAATAAGGAGTTGATCAGGATTTTTTTTTATTCTATCCCTGGTTTTTCTTTTCCTTTCCTCTTATTTTAATTACTCTGCCCCTAAAATAGGGAAGAGTCACTGACCCTATTGCCTTTCCATGAGGCAATTGGTGTTTGAAAAAGAACCAGAAATCCTCAGAGGACATAATCTGTGATAATATATATTCTAAGGTAGATGTGCTGCCATTCCCTTTATTGGGCTTGGCAAACATTTCTCAGCAGAGACCACATTTTCTGCTGCATGTAGCTTTAGAAAAAACATCATCACTTAGGCTGAAAACTGATATGCTGGCTGTCTGTACTGGGCAGATTATTTTGAAAATACCTGCCAAAACAATTTGTCCATTTCCAAGAACAAGGTTATGGAAAAATAAACAGTTTTGCTCATACTAAAATGGAAACTTTTTTCCTTTGAAATGCTCTGCTGCCCTCAGGCTTTGAAGCACAGCCTCAAAATGTGACCTTTTTTATTTAAAATGTGCTTTCCCCTTTCTGTCTGAAAATTTATCTAAATGTGTCTAACTTACAAATATTAGAAACTGTCATGAACAGATGGCCAGCAATGATTTCTTTTATTCTAGCAGGAAAAAGGCATTGCTAAAGGTTGGCCCTCTCTGCAAATAGAAGCTTGAGTATACAGTGTTGAGGTTAGATTTCCACTTTAATCCCCACCTCCGAGTTTGCCCCGTGAACCTGAATTTTGGTGCAGAATCTGAGAGGTAGGAATCCTATCTCTCCTAAGCTCCAGGTGATTTGAAGGTTGTGTCAAGAAGAAAGGTCTCTGCGTGAATACAACACAGAGGAAAAAGCCATCCAGCCTGTGACAAAGCAGGCAGTAGAAGCAGCCAAGCCAGGCAGAGAGAAAAGCTGGGACTGGTGTTTGGAGGCAGGAGCCTGGGACTGATTAGGTAAGGGGACACAGAGGTTGTGCAGAGAGAGCAGAGAGAAGCTGTTCTATTGAGGAACCTGGAGGGCAGATAAGAGGGCAAGGCTGGAAAAACCAACTAATGCTGTCAGCCAAGAGCAAGGATGCTTAATTGCAGGATGTCCAGAGTAGC